GACTCATGATAATCATTCACATTCACATACGGCTGCAGTCCTTGAAGATCATGACGAAATGGTTCTTCATGCCCACTTTGCACTTCACAATTCAAGCACTGCAAACGCTCATCAACACTCTGCTGACTACCCCAAGCACATCGTGTTGACACTTCATCCCGCCAAACATTCAAACAGTCCCACGAGTTTGAACCTGCCCCACTGCTGTAACTGCCATGGTGACCAGCACAATCCATCTTCCAGGACCCCTTCACTGCAAGACAGTTTGCACCTGTGTCAAACCCTTTTGCTGCTGCATTGGTCCATTTGCTGTTACCCGCTCAACTGACTTTCATCAGTCTTGCGGCGCTTGGACATTGTCTCAGCCAAATTCCTCTCAAGCTCTTTCTGTTGCTCGGAGTTGAAAATGATACCTGCTTGTCCCAAGGCTTTGAGGACATGCTCTGTAGCATCACTATCCAAGACATGCTCACCTGTGGTGGGTACCTCAGCCGCTTCCGCCTTGAGCTGTTTCGCATAGGCTTCCGACTGATCCCCAAGCTGTTTATGCTCTTTGTCAATGGCCTCCTGCACAGCTTTGAGCTCGTCCAACAAGATCTTGTATTGGTCTTTGGCTTGATCCACCCGTCTCTGCAGAGCTTGCTTCTTGGTGGCCAATTGCCTCAATTCACCAACTGTCGCCTTGAGCTGCCCTGTGACGTCAACTGCCACCATAGGTGTTGGCTTGATCAGGCCAACCACAGCCTCTTTCACTTCCGAAGGAAGGGACTCAAGATGTGCTTTCAACACTTCTTCAAGTGGTGGGCATTCAGGCTCTGGTGTAAAATCAATGCCAACTCCTTTCAATGCCTCTTGGGCCTCTTTGGCCAATGTTCCCCAGGCCTTCTTGAGGGTGGCTTCAATGGCACTGTGAGTTGGCTTGCTTTTGCCGCCCAGCCCAGGGGGTGGGTCGACTTGTGGCCTCGCTCTGCCCCTGGGCTTCCTTGCTTTCTTGGCCTGGTAGGGACTCTCCCACGCTTTGTCTGCACCTGGCCATGGCGTGCCACATTGATTGCAACCCCATCGGTGGCCATTGATGCGGTCCGCCCAAATCCATGATGAACTGCATCCACATATTTTCTTCTCGACCGGACCTTCTCAAACTCCTGGAAATAGCCCCCAACCATTTCACAGAACAAACTGGGTAATGCACTCGTCAGCCTCGATTATGAGCAAGGGCAAAGCCTCCGGCCGTATAGGACAGGTCAAAGGGGTCTGCTATCTCGTAGTCCAGTGCCCTCGATCACTTCAATGTGGGCCAACCGGTTTGAGCCTCCTTGAGCCAAACCTTGAGCCTTTCTTTCTTTCTCTTTCTTTCTTTCTTTCTATTTCTTTCTTTCTTTCTATTTCTTTCTTTCTTTATTTCTTTCTTTCTTTCTTTCTTTCGTTCTTTCTTTCTTTCTTTTTCGCAGCTGTTCTCCTTTATCTTTTTTGCTTTTGCTTTTCCTTTTGTTCGCTTTGCAGAGACGAAGCCAAACAAGGAAGCAAGCAAGCAAGCAAGCAAGCAAGCACGAGCTGCTCACCTTTGGATCTGGTGTGCTGCTGGGGGGGGGCGCTGCGTCCACCCCCAACCCCCCCGCGCCACGAAATCTGCACTTCATCCCCGACACCCGCGCCTGCCACGAAATCAATATTTTGAGGTGAACTCCCCGGTGCAAAATTTTCTAACCAAGCAAATATGCCTCCTCTATCTATCTATCTATCTATCCATTTATCGTTCTTTCTTTGTATCTGTCTATCTGCAGTTCAACATCCACAAAGTACTACACCTGCCACGAAATCTGCACTTCAAGGTCCACAAAGTCTTGCGAGTCTTGCGCCTGTCACCAAATCTGCACTCCAAGGCCCACAAAGTCCTGCACCTGCCACCAACCCTACACTTCCACATCAAAAAGTCCTGCGCCTGCCACGAAATCTGCACTCCAAGGCCCACAAAGTCCTGCACCGGCCACAAAGTCCTGCACCTGCCACGAAATCTGCACTTCAAGGTCCA